GCAGAGGCACTGACCAGCTCATTTTCGGAAAACCTCACCAATGGTTTGCTACGACAGAAAGGAAAAACAAAGAAAAATCCTAGCCTGCTCCAGCAGTTGTGCTGTAACTGGCTGTGGTGAGCTCCTTCCCACCTGCTGGTGACACCAGCACCTTTGGGACCTGCTGCTCCCCACTGCTTGTGCTCCACACAGAGATTCTGCAGGACACAAGAACACATACCTCTACCACGCAAAAACTGGACAGCTCCAAAGCAAGAGGTGGGATAACACCCAGTAAAAAGGAAAAAACCATGGGGATATGAGGGTATTCATGCCAGTCAACAGTGCCATAGAACAATACTCTCATAACATCTATTTACAAACACTAATACTGCCTTTTCAGCATCAGAGGAGGCCAATTTATATAAATGCTTATTTTTACTACAAAAGTGAAATCATTTAAATGAAATAAAATGTTATTTATGGTTTTATGTACTTGCTGCTGATGCTCTGAAAAAAGATCAGCCACTGAAAGGATGGAGACGTGCCACCAAGCACATGGGACAGGAGTTCACTTTACTTGAGATGTTTTAGCACAGTGGTTTCCTAAGTGTGGGAAGAAGATTACATTCTTCCTTTGATTCAGTAAGATCAATCTTACTACTTTCTTGAAAAGGAACTGGAAGCTGAAAGACAGAAGTCAACTATGTCGTTTCAAGCTGTGGAAAAAAAGTGGATATGGAAAATGGCTGCAATCTTGAAAGACACGAGGACCAGGAACGACCATACTGTCTTTGTTATGTTATTGACTTTGGAAATGCAAAGCATGTTTAGATAAACATTATTTTCCATATGTGTTCAGCACATTCTCTCAACCATTAAAAACATTTAAAAAAATTCTATTTTTGGGCCTTTTTAATTGGAATTCAGTTCCCATCCAAATGCAGCTTGACCCACCATGTGTTTAAAAATTACTCATATGGTAAATAGGAAAGCTGCCACTTACCTTATAGTAACATAAAAGTTTTAAAAATAAGGCTAAAATGTATTGTGAGATACAGTACTGCTTAAATATAAATGTACTGATAGATGATTTCAACTTTAATTGGTAAAAGGAAGTACAGGATTTAGTGAAAAAGCTTACAAAAAATCATTACATTTTGTTTCAAACTCAAATAAGAATCAGACTTAAGAACATCTCCTGAGAAAAGGAAATGCAGACAACTATTAAAATTGATTATTTGAGTACGTATTTCTTGCTTGCATAGCTAGTGTTGCTTCACATCAATCTTCACTACCTTGAGGAAACTTAAAATTTAGAAACAAGAACCAATGAAGACCCAGCAAAGGAAAGATAGTCACAATAAGCAATTTTCTGACTGACGAGCAAAATTAATTTCAAATTACTTCTCCTCCCTGCCTTTGGAATTAGAACATACTTCTTTACTCTTCCTGCACTTTGCTACAATGTTCACAGGTTGTCAGGGCTGCGAGGGGAATTTTGGGACTCTGGACATTCTTTGCCATGCCCAGGGCAGCTCTGCTCCTCGTCTGCCAGGGCAGCACGGGCATGGCTGCAAAGATTCTGCACAATCCCACTGCCCTTTTTGGGCATCCTAGTGCAGACAGGGTCACCTCTGCTACCCGTCCCCCCAGCACCTTGTGCAGCAGTCCTCACATAAGACTGAGATGCCTCAGCAGTATCACCATGTGATATAAGGAACAAAACCAGCCAGGACATTCCTGTTTATCGTCTTGTATCTCCCTGAGGATTTTCTGGTTTTGTTTTCTAAGAGGTCATGCTCAGTCCTTGCCATTTCTACCATCTCAGTCTCCCTCCCCCCTGGTATTTCTGTTCACCTCCACCACGTATTTCCCAAGGGCACGTTCTCGCTGGTGAACACGGCAACTGCTCGCACCAGCGTGGATCTCTGAGCAGCAGCTGGCAGGCAGCAAGTCTCCCAGCACAAGGCCTTCTCCTGTTCACATGATGCTTGGAATTGGAGCAAATGCTGGTTTTGGGTGCCTGCCAACCTCACAACCAACGAACAGGATCCGAAACAGAACTGGGATATTTGTTTTCTCTCGCCCTGGCAAGCAGCACAAGGTGGCATCCCTGGGGAAGCCCCTTCTCTGAGTGCCCGTCACTGGGGATTTTGTGGCTGCTGCTACTTCATGCAGGCAACGAAAAATGCACTTGGCACTGTGCAGCTTAAACAAAAACCTGCACTTTGTGCTGAAAGCACAGCTACAGAAACACAGAACCTACATATGAACACAGAGATGTTGCCCCAACATCCCCCCCCCCCAGGAGTGGCCATGGCAACCCCTCACTGTGTGCCAGGGACGGTGCCAGCCTGCACATCCATCCCCAGCCCTGCCAGGCCACCTGGACCACACCAGCCACGGTTCCCATCCCATGGCAGCGCTCCCACTGCTGTCAGTGCTGGGGAAGGTCTGAGGCAGCAGCCACGGCATCAAAAGTTTTAGAACTTGGTGTCAGAGCTTGCAGTCTGTCAGGGTGACTTTGCTTTGAAAGCCTGGATGGCAGTAAAGATGAAAAATGGTTTTGCCATTTTCTCCCCGTCTGCCCTCACACTATTTATGCCCAGCAGGACACAGAGGGCCTGCTCCCACCACATGGCTCCCATTCCTGTCCCTGGGTGACTACCAGCCACTGGCCAAGGGCTGCCTGAAGCAATGGCTTCCTCTGAGATCAAGGCAGCTGAAGCCATTCAGCTTGAAGCTGAATGTCCCCCTTGGGCACAGTGGAGGCACAGCAGGGATTAAAGAGATCTCCTGAAATCCATGCCTGTAGCTCAGTCAGGGCAGGCTCTTCCCCACTTTAAGACAGTCATGAAATCTGGCAAACAGCATCAGTCCTCCTCTAGAGTGCCCAGTAACCCTGACTCTGCACAAGGCCCCAAAACAGCAACAGGATATAGGGGATATACTGATACACTGAACTGGAAGCATCTGAGAAGCTGAAACCAGGAGGATTTTATTAGAAATTCACAGTTTTTCTGCGATTTTCAAATAAATATAACCAAAGCAATCTAATTTTTTCTGAAGTCCAAAGCTAGTTAATTTATTTCTAAGTGTCCTGACTTCCTCAGACTTCCTGACTGAAACACTCACCAGCGCTCCACACGAAATTTCAGCTCAAAGAGCCAGTTTCAAAGACTTACTGCTGCCAGCTGACAGGAAAGTCAAACCGCAGTTTTTGACCTTAATAAAAGTCTTATACACTTTCTTCTAACATTGTAAGTATAAAGCAACATGAAAAATGACTAAAACCAGGGCACCAGTTGTGGGTTGAGTCCAGCACTTCACATCCATTTGACACAAGTGTAAATCCACAACTAATAAAGCAAATTGGGTAAACTAGGCCTTTTGTTTGAGACACAGCTGAGGGCTACCAAGGCATCTGTAAAATGGGTTTCTCTCCTCAGCACTCTCACCCCTTCTTGCCTAAAGTACAGGGCCTGAAGACAGGGGAAATGGGGCAGTTTTGGTCCTCATTACAAAATCAGCTCTCAGGGAGGTTGTGCTGAGGTTTCCCTACCCAGCTCATGCAGATTGTGCTACAGCAGCAACACGCCAGGCTAACTGCAATCCCACAGAGGGCTCCTGTGAGAGAGGAAAGGTTGGGAACCCTCCTGAAAGACCCTCCATCCTAAAGAAATGGGCTGGGGAAAGGTTGAGGGAAAAGCAGGATCTGTGACTCATCCTGTTCCCCACATCCTGTTTGATGAGTGATGCCCAAGAGAAGGAGACTTCAGAAAGGGGAGACTGGAATCAAAATCCAGCGGGTCAGAAGCCTGCAGTTGCCCTGACAGCCTTTACCCACCAATCTCAGCTACAGGCAGGATCATGCCCATAGAGCTCAAAATCTCTGCCATTCAGAGGATTTATTAAAAGTATTTTACTTTTGCTCCCCTGAAATTACATCATTCTCCTCTTTTATCTGCCTTAAGTGTCAGGAGAGTGTGATGTCAATGAGATGTACAAAGGCTTTTGGGTAGCTGAACAGTTTTATAGTCCCACATTGATAAATTAAAGCATTTGTCACTGTTACCACATAAATGTTTCTTCCAGAGATCAAAGTCTGGATTTGCTGCATTGGGGTACCATCCTCTGCTACGCATTACCACGCATTACTTTCTGAGAAAATGAATTGCAATCCTGTATCTTTATATTCACAGTTTAATCACGCCCTGATTGTCACACCTGCTGATTCCCATCTCCACATGCACTATGCAAGCCATTTTTGCAGTATGGATTTTCTCCTTGATACCTGCGTGAAAAGCCTGAATATCTTGTTTCAGGACAATCACTTTCTTCTGGCTCTGAGAGGCTGCTTCTGCAGCAAAGAATACAGACAATTTCCTACCTTCTGGAACCCTGGATTCAGTCATGTTAATTTACATTTATATAGCACCTTTCATCCCTGAAGATCCCAATGCACTTTACAAACTCCCCCTTCTCTGTACACAGGAGCTGTACAAATAGACACAGCTCCATAAACAGACACAGCAGTCCCACCACTGACTGCTGAAACACATCCCTCCGTGTGTATTCCCAGCACACTCGTGGCAATCCACCTCTGCACACCCTGCAGCGTGTCACCATCAAGGAGGAAAACAAGGCAGGGTGATTTAGAGGCACAGCACTTCCCTGTCGGGGAGGCACGAGGAATCTAGGCAAGCAATGGAATGTCAGCCTGGGAGACTGACATCTCCTTGGCACTCTGCTACATAGGGTAAAATCAGGTAAAAACTGGTTTGTGGTGAGTTACACCTCGCTGCCTCAGTGCTGCTTTCAGTGCTTGTACAAGTCCAGGCTTGCTGCTCCCTTCCACTGAAGGGGTGACCCTCAAGTAGTTTGTTTTATAAAATGGAAAAGTACCTGCCTGCTTTGTAACGAAAAAGTAAGGGGAAATAACCCCCCCTCCCCAACAGTAGTTGTTGATTAGCTCCTGCCAAGCTGAGGATGGAGGCGAAGGGAGAACCCCAACATACCTGAGACACCTTTTTGACCACGTCACTGCCCACCAGAAAGCCCTGTGCGTAGGAACGTGCTGCGATGAAGGCTCGGGTTGCCTTCACCTTCAGGTCCCTGGGAACTTCCCCAAAGGGTTTGTGCTGCTCTGCGTGTTTCACCATGCAGTCCAGGTACTCGTCTGTGATGTGGTACTGGGGATTCATCAGCTTGAAGAGCCGCTCCAGCAAGCGTGTCCAGAACTCATTGAGGGCCTCTTCCAAGTTGATGTTGGAGCTCCGGTAATAGCGGCGCAGCTCGCTGTACAAGTCCTTGAAGACCTTCATATTTTGAGTGTACAATTCTCCATACATGCTTGGAAAAGCATCATAAAGGGCCTTTTCTGACTTGTTCAACAAATCCTGGAAATAACCTGAAAAACAAGAAAAAGGAGAGGTGATGTATTCCAGAGAAGCTGGAATCCAACGGGCCGTGTCATTTGGCAGCACAGCTGAATACCCTGAGAAAAGAGAAGGGCCATAGTAGAGCATTTCCTCCAACCAACCTTACCAGACTCTTAAACTTGAGACTTAGCTGAGAAGATTGAAGGAGGAACCCCTCAGTGCCCGAGAACCATGATCTGGGCCCCTGGGTCTCTGTCAGCCTCACCTTGAACCAAAACTGAGTCTCTTTGGGTGCAGAAGGTGTCACAGTACTACTCATAAGTTTTCTTTACAACTGGTATTGCTTAACGTATACCACAACTCGCCACATGTCATTTCCAAAGCCCTGGTGAGATGAAGCAGGGCTGCCAGCAACAGGAGTCTCAACCTTTCCCAGAGCCACCCTGCCAGCCCTGTCCATGGCAGCCACCCTGGCTCCGAGGCACAGCCTGCAAAGCACGTGCCAGTCCCAGGAGCCTTGTCAGGAACAGGCACGTCTTTCTGTGGATTTCAAGACAGGGCTGTACCCAAGTGTTTGTGAACTGAGGCCAACATTATAATGTCTGAGGGTTCTTATCCCATTTGCTTTCTTGGATGTGCATCCTGCTTTTGTTTCAGTATAAATAACTAAATGGTTTTACAGCCCAAGTTCAGCAGTCATAGATGTGACAGAAATGTGACTCTCTTGTACATAGAGCAGGGTAAAGATGACAGATTCGACTCCTCCCTTACCAACACCTTTAGGTATTTCCATCCTCTCAACTGCCAGCTACCTTCAGGCTGAGAATGCACAGTGGGGAACTTGTAGCAGGAATGGCCTGATTCAATTTATTGATTTACGTGAGCAACTTCAATCATCATTTAAGTCAGTGAGAAGCAAAATAATTTAAATAATAACTTTCATTTCAATTACATTTGTATTTTTTAAGGCCTTTTTGAAGCAAACCTGATTATACTATTCTCTAAACCTAAATTACTATTATTTTTTTTGGTGATGTATGATAAGCTCTAGTTGGAGAGAAACCATTACTCAATTAAAATCAAACAGCATGTATAAATTAACTCCACTGTGCTAGGCATATAAGGAAAGAAAAAAAGCTTCTGAAAAATGCATATTGCATGTACAAAGCTTTATTAAACAAAGTGCTTTTTTAGGGAATGGCACTGACTACAATTAAAGACCTCTAAAACTGTAGAACTACTAAACTTCAGTTCCATCATCTTGTTTATATTCACGGACTGGAAGGGCCATACAAGCTTTCCTACAGTAATAATCTCTCACTGGCTTCTCAGATTCGAAGCTAAAACTCAACAGTTGAATCAACCAGTGAAAAGACCCTTTGCATCTTCACCACAGATTTGCTAATACCAAAACTTCCTGTATTATTTTAACAAAGAGATACCGAGCATTAAAAGCCAGGCCTCCTCCAGCCACAATTGTGTGCTGCTTAATAATTTAAAAATTTTAAAAGATTGTGAGTAAATTAGATCTTAGCAAAAGTCTGGTTCAATCCCTTCTGGAGACAATAAAAATATGTTATCTAAAATGTTGAATAAAAACTGGTTTCCAAGTGTACTTTTGGAAGAAATTGGTTATTATTCAACCTGACCAGGCTGGCAGTTTATATCTCCAAACACTTGTCCTGGGATCCCTCCGTCTCCCAGATGACTGCTCTGAATGTATTTCTACACCCTCCCTACTGAAACCGGATTTCTCCCTACAGACACCAGGCTTGTCAGGGCCCCCAAGCCACCTATAAAATGACCTTGTAATGGGGTGCTCTTAATAGAAAAAAAAGTCAAAAGCTGATCTCATCAACAAGTACTTTGCTAAAGACTTCAGTTTAATAAGAAGAGATGCTGCAGCATGTGCCATCCTAACACAGCTTACCAAAGCCTCTCCTCTGCAATCTCAAGCAAAGGGTGACTTGAGCCCTGCCCTCTCCCTGGGTCCCAGCTCCCACTCCCCTGTCCCAGCTCCCAGAGAGGATCTCTCTCCCAGGGCCAGACAATCTTGGCAGCACACACACAGGACTCATCCTGGTAACCCTGACCCAGTAGCCTCTGCACAGACCTTTCTGCTGCTGCAAAGTGCTCACCCTAACCCTAACCCTGAGAGCCCAGCACAGCAACTGTGTGCTCCCACTCCTGGGAGGTTCTGGCTACTCCACCAATAGACCTACAGGAGGATGATTTGCTCTGGCACTGCTGTGAGCTGACTCAGGGCTCATCCTGCTGCAGTGCCACCTTATCTTGTTGCAAGGGCACCTGCAGCATCTCCCCAGGGGGCTCACCCAGGGCTCACAAGCCAAGCAGATGACTGTCAGGCTGATGGTTTGTCCTGGTAGGATACTTTTCCCAACCTGAGTAATCTGAGATGGCTTTATTTCTGTTGCCAGAGCCTTCCCACCTGTACAGTGAAAAAAATGGCACTCACCTCCAACAAACACAAAATACAAAGTTTCTCTGATGTTGCTGAGATGTATAAAAGCTGCTCTGTGTCTTAACGTATCAAACACTGCTGGACGCCCATTCACAATTTAATTAAACTGAGCTCAAACCCTCTTTCTTGTATAATCAGTGGTCTTTTCTCTGTGACAAGCGACACTAACTGAACAAATTACTCTTCAGTCCAGGTACAACATGCAGCTTTGCACTCACCATCACAAGGAAGAAAACACCAACACAGTCCAATTTGTCAATTCAAGGTAAAATTACTTTCTTTGTATTGCTACAGGAGAAACAAGATATACATCTTCCTGTCAAAAAACTGGAGACTGCTCTCAAAAAAGTCCAAGCTAATTAAGGGCTGATGAACTGTTACTTCTCCCCCAAGTGAGAGCACACCAATTACAGACAACTCCTTTTGTGGATGGTACTCAGAAAGTTCTTCTAGATCTCACACACTGAGAAAAAAAAAATCTACACTAGCTAGGGAAAATTAATTAGCAATTAAGTCTAAATGTGTTTGTGATGAATGGCTGAGCTGGCCGGGAATTTAAATGCCCATTTTGCAGCAATAGAAGGCACTAAGAAGTAAGGTTTGTCAAGAAGGATGCACAGAAGCTTGTGCCAACTGCCCTGGTCCTTAGCACAGTGTCAGCCAAGATCTCCAACTAACACTGTATCTTTTCCTTAACACTCCCTGCCTGCTGATATTACAACCTTTTAACATGTTTAACATGTGTCCATAGATAAAGGATATGCAGGGTCTTGGGATGAACAGCTTGCTGAAGCACAGTTCAGGCATCAGCCCTTCTACCTTGATTTCAGGTAGAAGGAATTATTTATTTGAGGGAAGCACCCCATTATCTGTAGCCATGGTGAGTGGGGCACCCTCAGGTAACCTGGTCAGAAGTCTCTGGTAATGCAGCTGTTTCTCTCAGAAGTTAACAATGAGCACCCAGCACCCATTTGGATGTATTTTGGTTCAACACTGCTGGGTCTGCCCTGGCTCCCAGGTTAGAGAGCTTAGCTCAGGCAGGGCACAAGCACATGGAGGCAGTTTCACCCAGGTCACACCCTGGACACATCCACAAGGCTCCCAAGCTCTGCTGACACCACGTTCTCCATGCCAGCATCAGCAGGCTCAGCCTATGACTTCATTCATGCACTGTAGCATTTGGCTTTGTCAGCCTCAGGAATGGCAGGGATGGAGGGAAAGGGCTCACGAGGAGCCAGTGCTGCAGCTGTAAAGCACTTCTGGCTCCAGGAGTCCTCTCTGCACTCCCATCCCTGGGAGAAGGCACACAGACAGCTGAGGAGGCTCTGCAGAGGATGCTTCCCTCTGAAAGGATGAACCTGTTTCCACTCTGAGTCACAAGGAAGTTACAGATTTTGTGCACCTGTGATGAAAAGCTAGAGCTGTTCTTGGCTTCTGTCAGCCTCAGGAATTTGACAGTTCTGGCCAGAGATACCTTCCTGTGAGTTACCTGCTAAATCCATGACTGGGCTTCCCCACTTTCAAAAAGTTTTCTCCAGGAGCCATTGAACAGGTGAGTCCTTCCTCACCACTGCTGGCTAAGGGATTCACAACACCCAGGAGGCGACTTTCTAACACCAGTGCTCCAGACAAATCAAATTCAATTTTCCCTGAGCAAATGCAAGGCACAGCTCCTCAGCCAAGGCTGCTCCTACATGAAACACCACCTTTCACTCCCTTGCTGCAAAGTATTCAAAAGAAAAATAAAATGAAATGGCAGTCTGCTGGTTTTTTATTATTATTATTATTGCCTATCACTTCCAGGCTCAGAAACAAGATAACCAGCTTTGCTCAAAGGCAATTTGGCAGAGGCTAGGTCTGAAAAAGTCTGCCCCAGGTACAAAAATGACAGAAAGTTATGAGCAAAGAAATGAAAGGCTTTTACAACCAAGACAATTCTGCCACCTTGGCCGCTGTTTCTCTTGCTGTTGTAGTGACAAAAACTTTTCAGAGAATTAAGTTTTCAACCAGAATCTATAACCTTTGCATTCAAGAGAGATTGTAAGTCCCTACCCGTTCCCCCGCTTCACAGCTTCCCGGTGTTCGCAGCTCATATTTTCACAGTTTCCACGTTTTCGCAACTCTGGATTCAAATTGGGAAGCTGTGAACAGCACGGCAGGGACCGGCACTTTCTCTCTGAAGATGGAAAGTTTTGAGTTTCTCCTTTATCGCTCCCTCCACCCCCAAGTACTTTATCCGAGCTCTTTGATACCGTTTGATCACTCAACATCTGGAACACACTGGGGTTCCTTCAACTAACATAATGATGGAAGGGGAAGGGATGTAGGAGGGAATGAAGAGGTCACTGAAGGAAGAGCACACAAATGCTCTTTTTAGTCATGCAGCAGAGCAGGCTTTCTTCAAAACACATCAAATTTGAGGGGCATGCTAGAAGAAATAGGAGAGATGGAGAAAGGTGACTGAATTACCTTCAACCTGAATATTATTAAAGCCTTAGGCAGGAAACTGCAGCACAAAAAGTCTTACACATAACTGGAAAGAGATGA